GTGGGAGGGACGGCCACTACCTTGGCTGCGGGGTGGCTTGAAGGAGCAGAGTGGGGCCGGCATTGGGTCCTCTTGTTCCACCTGCGTGTGGGACCTGCGTGTGTCCCCTCAGCTGCTCCTGGTGCACTTTTTCCCCCAAGCTGGGGCCAGGAGGGAGAAGCTGCTGTCGTGGACCTTGTAGGTGTCTGCCACCAAGCCTTGGCATGCAGCCTGGAGTGGGCAGGGTGGTCCTTCAGGCTTGGGTGCCTCCACCTCCTCCTCCTCTTCAGAGACCTGCCCCATGGGGCAGAAGGCTCTTATGGCGCTGCCTTTTGTGGCCAGTGTAGCACCTGATCTCTTGCCTTGAGACCTGCTCTGCCACTCCTCTGAGAATTTTACATCTGCATCACTTTAATAAAGATCATTCCTGCAAATATTTAACATCTGCATTTCTTCAATAAAGGTTTGAGTTTATTTTAAGCTATTGTCATTGCTTGGTGTCAGTGGCACCTGTGCTGCTCTTAGCCAGGGGAGGCAAGCACAGGGATGGGTCTCAGCACCACCACTGACTCTCCAAGATGCAGCACCTGGCTGAACAGCCATCGTTTCTGTAGTCGATGGTGGAGAGAGGTATCGGCATCAGTAGGTGAGGGTATCTGGACTGCCGTATTCTTGGCTGCTGGCTTGAGTGACTTTGGCTGAACTCTTGAACTTTTCTTGCCCTCTAGTCCTTGCCCTAAAAATGGATGTAATGCTTGTGTGGTGGCCAGCTGACTTCGGTGGAAGCTCCTGAAGCGCTGCGGGGGTAGCCAAAGCCAACGCCCCCAGCCCACAGAGCGTGAGGAGTCCTGACACGGCCTGGCGGCTGCTCGTCCAGGGCCGCCTCGCCTTTATCAGCTCTCTTGCTGCTTGTGCTCTTTTCCTGGCCTGTCCTTTCACCAGCAGAAATGCGGAAAAACCAGTTCTGTGGTTAACTGCTGCACTTCCCTCCACGCCCATGGGGCAGGTCTCCTTCTCCTCACTTGCAGTCTGGGTGCACTTCAGCCTCCAGCCTCTTCGTCCCTGCCTGCGCTCAGCCGGCTCAGGTGCGCCGTCAGGCCTCCACACCTTCCATTAACTTTACAGCTTCTCCTGCCTTCCCCTTTTTCCTCTGTCTGCAAGAGCTTCTGGCGCTCTGGTGGCTCCTTCTCCCTTGGGCAACCCAGCGGGTTGGCCCACAGGTGCAGAAGGTGCAGGCAGCTGCCCTCCTGGCCCTGCCCTACCCAGAGGGATAGCATTTGGACTTGATGGCTGGAGGCAACGAGAGGAGCATGAAGGCCCTCAAGGAGGTGTGGAGAAGAGCGGAAAATTCTTTGTGCGCAGACTGCGGGAAGCCAGGTGAGTCCCCAAGGGCTGCTGGAGGAAGAGTCAGAAGCAGGGAGCCGGGGCTGGTCTCTATCAGCAGTTTGGTGCGGGCTATCTGACTGCACAGGAGCCTGGGGCAGAAAGGGAGGAGGGGCATTGCTCTTTCTGGATATTTGCTTCCTCTCCCTGGAGGTGAGTAGGCAAGGAAGGAAGGAGATGTTGCCACAGCACTGGTGGGAAAAAGGACAGGGACATGGTAGTGCCAGATGAGCAGGGGCTGTGTAGCTGCAGCGCTGTGGGTTGTAGTCGTGTCAGATCTCAAATACAAATCAAGGTCATGCCCAGTCAGGACCTGACAGGAAAGCTCCTGGTGAAATCCTAACTGCTCCAGAAAGAAGGCATGATTCAGGAGGGCATTGTCTCCTCCGTGACTCAGCTATGAGCTGACAACCTGCCACAGGCACCTCAAGAGATTTCTTTTACTGAAGGGCTTGCCCTCTCGAAAGGGTGTCCAGTTTGAGGTCCTACAGGCGCTGCTAAAAACACCCATCGTACTCCTCCCAAAAGGGACATGTGGAACATACCACCCAAGCCAAATTAAGACCGGGCTAATTAGTACCATTTTACCTTCTTAAATTCTCCCTGGAGAATTTTGGATTCAAGGCTGCTTTCCACTTCCAGAGCTAAATACTGTTGGGGGTTTGCTGTGTTGCACTAAATAGCTCCTGGCATCTTTTCCCAGAGGTGGTTTAAGTTTCATCTTGGGTGACCCTTTATGCAAAGGGAATTCGCAGAGCACTTCGGAGTTTTTCAAGGTTCAGGTCAATAGGGATTCAGATGAAGTGGTTGAAGCAGGGGGAACATAGCATAATGGCTATGCTTTTTCCTGCCTGTACCTTGGGTGTTAATTAATCAGCTTAGATGAAACTGTGATCACCCAGCTCTCTGTTTCTCCAGACTATGTTCTCAGTTGAGGTGTAGCTTCCAGGGGAATGTACCACCTGTAGTCATACCCTTTTTTATACCCTCAGATCCTGACTGGGCATCCTCTACTTTGGGTGTCTTTATATGCCTCAGCTGCTCAGGAATTCACCGCAACATCCCTAGCATCAGCAAAGTCAAATCCCTGAAGATGGACCACTGGGACGATGCTCAGGTGCAGGTGAGATCTTTATCCCCGGTAGTGTGTCAGGTGGGTTGGGTCTAGGCCATACACTAACATGTCCTGGGAAAATCAGCCCTTTGGCCTCACAGAGTTGGAGATTGAATCTGATACGTAGTCCCTTTGCTACTCGTGCTCTGGACACTTAAGCGAGGGTAACTCCCCATAACCCACTGGGAGGGATGATGCACTTGCCTTATGTGTCTCCCCATGTCCTGTTACTTTATGGGAAATGCAGAGCTCTTGCAATGTATCTTGCCAAGGCTCAGGGTCTCTGTCTCTCCAGATTACTCATTTCCCACTCGCCAGCACCATCCAGCCTCAATGTCTCCTCTTGGTTTCAGCAGTCCGAGGGGAAAATCTTGGGCAATTCCATGCTCCAACAAGAGTTTCCAGATATAATGTGATCTCTTGAGAAAAATGGCATTTATGGGAACTTGACTTCTCCCCATTATACCCCCCCAACCCACTAATCTTCAGGGGACTGAAAAAATTTTCCAGAGATCCAAATAAAATAATCTGTATCTCACTGGTCTTTGGAGAGGAGCAAAGAGATTTGGAATGTCCTCCCAGATGGCATTGCAGAGCTGTCATTGAACTCGGTCTCCGCAGAGATGTGGGGCATGGCAGCAAATCCACTCAATGTGTGTGTACCCAGCCCCACAGAAGTGACATTTATGACATTCTGTTGATTCAGGTGCAATCAGTGTAATTTCTGAGAGTAGACAAGACCTTTGAGACCCACCTTTCTGTAGCCAGACTTTGCTGGGATGTTGCAATGGACAGGAAAGAGAATGCTCCATTAGAGCTCAACGTGCATCTAGCCCTGTAGTGGGTCAGGAAAGAAAAAACCCAACATGAGTCTGCATCAAAGGAAAGGCACTAACTCTCTCTCTAACTCTGCAGTTTCTGGCCAAGCATGGGAATGCTGTGACTAAAGCCACATACGAAGCTCACATCCCTATTTACTATTACCAGCCAACCTACAATGACTGCCAGTAAGTTGCTGCATACAGAAGAAAAGGGGGAAGGGCAGTTCTGGGTTCCTCTAGGTTGTTTCTGAGCTACCTGTCACCTCTCTCCCCAGAGTGCTGAGAGAACAGTGGATACGGGCCAAATATGAACGCAAAGAGTTCACTGAGCCGGGAAAACAGTTGCCATATTCTGATGGTAAGAGCAAAGCACAGCACCAAAATATCCTGCCTGTTGCCTTTGTTGGAAGCTTTTGAGCACCGTGAGGAGAAAGCTTATAGTGTCATTGTTGCAAATCCCACATGTACTCCTGAGAACCCAACTGGTACTTACAGGGCATTATTTTGGGGGAGTTTAAATTGTGGGCAGCGTAGGTTAGCACTGCCACAGGTTGCTTCCAAGCTTGGTATTACCAGCTGGCATTTTTCAAAGGCATTTGCTGTCCTGGCGGAGCCAGGAAGTAAGGAATTTCTGTCCAGCTGCATGCTACCCTCTCCAACCACAGCAGTTGTCACTGCCAGTGCTGTGACACAAGGTGCTGGAGCCCAAGGGCCTGCAGAGTCAAGTGGGAAGAATTCTGGTCCCATGCCAAGGTCTGTGTGGGCCAGGACTCTGGTGTTCACCAGAGAGACGGCTCTCATGCTGTCAGAGGCAGTAGTGGGAGCCGGACTAGGAGGTGGGAAGCATCTGGGAATGTCTTTTGGTGACCGTTTATCTGGGCTGCAAACCCAGGAATACCACCATCTTCAGCTGTAAGTCAGAAGTGAGACCTCTCCTTCTCAGGTGTTTGTTCTCAGCCATAGTCCATCTCAGCTTTATCCCAGAGGTGTGGCTGGGACCCCAGGCTGCATGCAGCTCTCTGATGCCTACCGTGACTGTGGGGTAATGCTCTCAAAAGTGGCCTTTCTGCTCCTAGGGGTGAAGGAAGGCATCCTCTGGAAGCGAGGCCGAGACAACGGGCAGTTCCTACCCCGCAAGTTCCTCTTGTCTGAGAGAGAGGGATGTCTGAAGTATTTCACCAAGCAGGATGTGAGTATGGTGGTCAACTCCCACCTCAGTACATACCAGGGCAGCGGAGTCGGGTCACGGAGATGTTTCTATTTCCTACGCATGTTTCTGAGGTTTCCTTGCTCATCCCAGGCCAGGGATGATAACAGAAACATGTCACTGAGGAGAGGGGTCCCCTTCCTACTGTCAGGTTGACATTTTCCCCACATCCTCCCTTTGTGCTTCCCTACAACCTTCCCTCACTGCTGATAAAAGGGCTGATCTTTCACTTCACCCCTATCCATTTGCCTGGCTGTGTAATCCTGCACCATCCCTGGAAACAGCCTCGCCCCACTGTGAGCCAAGTTGGCAAAAACCTGTTGTTTGGTTTGTTTTGAGGAGGACTACTCTCCTGCTAGTTCATCTCCCTGAAATGAATGGGGCAAGTGCTAGTATACTGTTGCAAGGGAGGAAATGGCTTAGGGTAGGGAGGAGCAGGAGGGGGGTCTTTCCTTTTGGGGTCAGTTAGCCTTTAGACTGGCTCAGCTATAAAGTCAGATGCACTCTTAATGTCTCACTGGCAGTTCCATAGTAGGCACACTCAAATCTAAACTGGAGGGGCTGGGCCACTGGGCTTGAACACGCCACATAGTGAAGGGGATGTGTGCTACAACAGTTCTGTTGAGAAGGGGCAGTTATTACCTTTTAACACCCTCTGACCTTGCCTTACTCCACTAAGTCAGCTCAGGTCTCTTTCCCACTAGGATTGCTCATGCATGACCAATGCCATTCTGTTTTCAGGCCAAAGAACCCAAAATCAATGTTAAAATAGATGTCATCAATGCTACATTCCAGCCAGCGAAGATTGGGAACCCCAATGGCCTGCAGCTCACCTATCTCAAAGACAACAAGACCCGGAATATATTTGTTTACCATGAAAGTGGAAAGGTATCTTGTTTTAACATCAAACACTGCAAAGCAATTGAGGTGATTTGAGAAGCTGCTGGTATTAAATAGTCTGAAGCATGGGTAGGATGGGGTGTGCATGTGTGAGTTGCTGTAGGTAACAGGGTGGGGGTTCTGGCTCTGTGTTTGTCTGTGAGAGAGTTTTGCTGCAGGGAGCAGGGCAGGAGCACTGGCTGAGTTGGTTTGTGTGGGAGGGGCTGCCGTAGAAGATGTGCAGATGTGCTGCCTGTGCATGTGGGGAATGGGGCAGCCGTGCTGGGTGTGTGTTTGTGTGAAGGAGATGCTGTAGGTGCTGGCGAGGGCGAACTGGTTGTGTTTGTAGTTAATGTAGGGTTGGGTGCAGCTGAGTGAATTTAGATGGCTCACTGTTGCTCTGGCTAAGCTTTCTGTCTTGTCCTTTTCTGTTCTCAGGAGGTAGTGGACTGGTTCAATGCTATTCGCTCTGTGCAGTTCCATTATCTGAAGGTAGCATTTCCCATTGCCAGCGATAATGAGGTAAGGCAGCACTAGAGCACGGTGCTGAGTCTCCCGCTGGTACTCGTTTATGTGATAAAAGAGCCCATTAGTTACTATTAGATCCCCAGGTACAGAAGTGGAAATTGCAGAGATGTTTAGATAGAGGGATGAGAAAGTGCGTGTAAAAGCCCCTGCAATGGCCAGAGAACAACCGCTCTCTGCTGTTTCTGGGCACTTTGGAGACAGAAATGACTCCTGGCTAGGCAGTTCTGCAAATGTGAATTTGAAAGGCAGCTGAATTTGGGGGAATAGAAGGAAGGGTGGGGGGTGAAAGCAAATAGCAAAGAAATGTGGCTAAGTGAATGTTACTCTTGCCTTTTTGTCAGATTAAAAATCGGCTGACAAGAAACTTCCTGAAGGAGGGATACATGGAGAAGACTGGTCCCAAGGTGAGCTGCTGTGAGAGAAAAAAAATCTATCAGGGACCTGCCAGAGAGCCACTGACCTTCCCTACTTCAATGTTTTTCTCCTGCTGTTTCCCCATTCCCCCCTGACTCTTTAGACACCCGTGGGAACAGTGTGTGTGCACCAAGGGAGGGGAGAATAAAAGGAAGGGGAAGGACACATGTGAAAGTAGATGAAGCCAGAGTCACTGCTTTCTCCCAGAACAACAGATCTCTCTGCATGTGTCTGTGTGTGCGTGACCTTACAGGTACTTAGCGTCTAGATTTCTCCTGTCTCAACTCTGGGGTCCTTCACTGAAGTCCAAGAGTTGGGGACAGCAGTTGGGACTGAAAAACCCGATACTGATCCCCACTCTCAGCTCAGAAAGGGTGAGGAGGAGGTTGCTGTTAAAGCTGGGCCTTGGTTCAAGTGGTTGGGATGAATTTTGGGTATCCATTCGCACTGCTTGCGGCAGAGGGCACTGTCCCCTTACATATGTCACCTCTTCCCTTCACAGCAGAGAGAGGCTTTTAAGAAGCGCTGGTTCACGCTGGATCACCGCAGGCTCATGTACTTCAAGGACCCTTTGGTGAGGGGGATATCTGACCTCTGGCAGCTGCGGGCCACAGTGCTGAGGGCAGGGCCAAAGCACAACCAGAGTCTTTGCTCTGCAGTAAGGGAGGCTTGCAGGTTCCCCAGCTGCTCTGAATGGACCGTGGGTCTTCCCCTTTCCATCCCACTTAGTTCATCGCATGCTTTCTGTGTTTGTTTCACTGCCTCCAGACAATGGGAAGAGGGAGGGCAGCAGTGTAAAGGTGGTGATGGGGAGGAGAGTGACTTGGTGGGGTGACATGGAGAGACAGGAGCAGCAGTTCCTTTCTCAGACCTTTTGACATCTATGCTCTTAAATTTTCCTTTCTGCCGCTGCCTTTGAGCATAGCCTCCCTGCTCTTCTGAATCCCCTGACCACCTTCAAAGCTTTTTGCTGCTACATTCCTGGTCCTCACTTGCTCTTCTCCTGTGCTTGGGTGCACTGCTGTTATTCCCTGGTTCTTCTGGGATTCCGTAAATCCCTCTCTTTCCTTCCTGATGTGCAGGATGCGTTTGCTAAGGGTGAGGTATTTGTGGGCAGCAGAGAGAATGGCTATAGCGTCCAGAAGGGATTGCCTTCGGGGACACAGGGCAACTTCTCTTGGCACTATGGCCTCACCATTGTCACCCCCGACCGGGAATACCTCTTCACCTGCGAGACAGAGACGGACCAGCTGGACTGGATCGCAGCCTTCACTAGCGTCATCAACCAGGCCATGACACCACAGGAATATGCAAGTAAGTGCCTGGATGCTGTTTCCTTCCCCTCCTGCCACTCCAGTTCAGGGTATTGCCCTAATGCACCACGTTTTTCCTTCACTACAGTTGAAGCCTACTTCAAGTTTAAATCCTAGGAAGCCATGCGGGAACCTCGCTATGACTCGACTCTACCTGGTCCTGTTGGGTGGGCTGTCAGGAAAGGAGAGGAGATCATCAGAGAAACACAGTGCTCTTGAAGCACTCTTTGAAGCACTTTTTTCCCCCATAGACGGTCCACTTTTTCTGGGGGCCAAATTAAGCTGTTTCCTTTGAAGTGCACAATTTTGTGAGTCTGAATCCGCAGTGCAACCTGTCACTGTTAAATTGCTGTGACCTGACTGGATGCTGGCAGGCCTTGCCTGTCAATTGGGCCTTGAAAACTTGGCACTTGCTGTGTTGGACATGGGACCTAGGACATGGGACTCCTGCATGAAACTGCAGACAGCCACCTACCTTACGCAAGAAAACAGCTGCCTGGCTCAAGCTACACCCCAGTGGGTTGCAGGGGCTGCTGGACTAGGAGAGACTGTTCCTATACAAGAAACGTCTTCTCTGCTGGTGACAGAGATGTGAAACATCTAGATACTTGATCAGTTGGAGCTGTAGTTGAGAAAAGTCACTTAAAAGATGTAATCTAACAGCCAAATTTGAGGCCTGTTTCCTCCTGCCGTGCACGGGCTTGAAAACTTTCTTCAGACCACATTTTTGTAGAGACCTTCCTCCGATTCCTACAGAGAAGATTAAGAGATCCGCCTAAAACCAATGTGTGTGTATACATGTGTGTATGTGGATAATGCGTGTGTGTGTGTGTGTTTGCACATAACAAAAAGTGGTGGGAAATGCAATACTGCCTTAGCGAAGATGCTGTGAGGGATATTCATGCCACTGAAGTTCAGCTGTCAAATTTGAGTCTCTAGTCAAACCAATGGAGAGAGGTTGGGTCCTGCAGAGAGCAGCTTATGGCATGTCTGATACAGAGTTCAGACTCTCTGTTGTCTTTACTAGAGCCTAGGAGTTGATGTCTGAAGATAGTAATACATGGATCTCTGCTCCCTCATTCTCTGTGTGTCAAAAGCCTGGCATTTTCATTCTGCCCTATACATTACATATGTATATATTGTATATCATATATATATAAAATTTTATGCAGTAGTATATCAGGGAAGTCTGTATGTTCATGTCCTTCTAGTAACAGTTAGCTCTGACCACTAAATCAACCCATGATTCATATCTTAAAGATCATCTCTTAAAGCTCTCCTGGGAGAGCTGTGTTCTGCTGAGTTCTGTTGATGACTGTAGTAGCTGATGTGTCTGCAGTTTTACACAGGCAGTGTGAGAGTAGGCATCTCATGTGTTAAAGGGAGCTAACTGGAATTAATGAGGCAACCAGTATTTTAATTAGCTCCTAAAGAAATGAATTAAAAAATCCCACTGTAATTTATTCTAACTTCCTAAATGAGCTGAGCTGCTAACTGCTAAGGCATGAGGTCATTTCTTGAAAAGAAGCACAGATATTCAGAGCAAGGAGCCATGGCTATTCATTGCATTTTCTGGGGCACGTGGACTGTGAATCTTCCCATCAGAGCCAAATGGGCAAAGTCATGGTCCCCCTCTGCTTCTCTGGGGACCCCTCTCTGTGCCGAGACCACCACAACCAGTTGGGAGCATCAACTTCCTGGATGAGAAGCAGCATCACTCATTCTGCTGCCATGGCACAATGGAGCATTCCATCCAAAAGTATATTTTCACTGCAGTTTGCTGATCTCTCCCAGTTAGGAGCATGACTGTCCTAAAAACCGAAAGCCATTGCAAAGCTTGTGTTCCAAAATGAAGTGCCTTTCGGTTCTGATAACATGAAAATGGGGCAGTCCATTAAAACAAAGCTCAAGCCCCATCCCAATAACCTGCACGTTCTGTTCTCCCCTGGGAAGAGAGTAGGGAGAGTGACCGAGACATGCCAAGAGCTGACGGAGATAACCCAGAGGGAGGCCTCTCAAGTTGCCTCCATCAATGCCCTGTGCGCTATACACCCACTCCATTGGCACGGTCACCCTGAAGCTGTTGCTGTGGCATCCAGCACGTTGCTCAGGAAGGTGCTTGGATCCTACTGCAGCGAGGGCAGTACTGATGGGATGCTTCCTTCTCATGTTTGCTGCTGAATTATTGCTGCTGGAGATGAGTGGAGGTATTTGACTCAGCCACAACTAAGCTAATACACTGACAATGCAAAAGTGTGTGGCTGGAGTGGCCTGAAAACCCCTGTGAACGAACAGCCGGGCACACTTAGTAATGGCGCATCTGTCTGCTCTGCAAATTCTGTCCCACCGTGCCTGTTCCCTGAGACGAATGAAGCTCAGATGTGGGTGAAGAAAGAGCAGGATAACATTGGGTGCAGAAGTGTGAGGGCATAGGTGTCATGCAGTGATGGCCCGCTAGAAGGCAATGATGCCTACCTAACAAGCTTCTGATCCCTGCTCTGAGGTGAGGCAGCAGGTCCTGAGGGTTCGAGGGAAGGAGGGGGAAAGCTTAGAGAAGGAGGATGGTCTTTGGGGATTCTAAAATACCCAGCCCTTTGAGTTTCTAGGAGCTTGCTGATTACAGGGGGACAAGGGTGGAACAGGGCCCGGTCATAGAAAATGTGAAATGACCTGCATCTGGTGGGCTTGCTTGCAAACTGGGGGCTACATCCAATGCCTATACCTCAAGGAATCCTGATGTCCTTGGAAGGGAGTGGGGGACAGGCCCGCTCAGCTCAGCTTGGCTAAGTGCCAAGGAGAGCAGTGTGGCAGCTCTGCCTATAGCACTTTCAGGGCTGGCCCTTGTTTCCCTTCTAAAGCCACAGCATGATGCTTTTCCCCCCTGCCACATTAGGGAGTCTTGGCTTTCAGCTATATCCTCTTTCAAATGAGGAAAACTGTGCAAGGGGAAATGAGAAAAAAGAAAGGGAAAAAAGAACAAGAAGGAAGAGGGAGCCAGAGGAAGGCACTGGGGAAGAAGGAGCATGTCTGCAAGAAAGAGGTGGAAGCCAGCACGGCTCCTCAGCTAGTGACTAAGAGCCCAGTATAAACTGGGACTGCGTTCGCACCGGTGTGTGAAGCTGTGAGTCAGACACATTCCTCTCTGCAGTGGGCAAGGCGACTTGTCCAGGGGCTGGTTTGGGGGGGAGTGCTTACCTCTCCAGGGTTTCTCTGAGCTGGGAGGACACAGACCTGGGAGAAGGAGAAATCCACTTGTCTACTGAGTCTGCCGGTTTCCGTGGGCCCAGCGAACGCTGGAGAAGCAACAAGCAAGGAGCTGGTGAAGACCAGAGACATTTTCTCCTGGCTGGCAGAGGTTATTTTGCACCTATCTGGCTTGAAGGGGAGGGAGGTGGTTAAGGAAAACCCTTTGGTGGTTAAGGAAAACTACCGGACAGAGCTTGTGATGGACAAGATCAGCAAAATGGACTGGGCGGCTGGAGGTGAGGAATAGAATTCTCTGGAGTACCCTACGTCTGCTGAACTCTTGCCATTCTTCCCTCTCGTGTTAAGGCTAGACGTGTCCCATCATACAGCAGGGGGGGAAGGAACAAGTCTCTGACAGCCTGACTTGCTCTTGCTTGCCATACCCAAAGATGTCTTGTGACCCTTCTCCCATCAGCTCAAGGCCTGGAGAGGATCCTGAGGGTGGCAGCTTCTCAGAGGAAAGCAGTGGCGGGGGTGACGGCAGTAGCGTCCTGGGAGGGGACAGCCCAGTCACGGGGCCGCTGGGTGCAGTGCTGCTGATCATGTGCCTCACTGGGATGGCGGGGAACATCTACACGGTGGTGGTGGCCTCTGGCAGGGTGGCAGGCCGCTCAGCGGGCTCCTTGGGGGTCTATGTGATCAACCTCGCCCTGGCTGACCTCCTGTACCTCTCCACCATCCCCTTTGTGGTCTGCACCTACTTCTCCCATGACTGGCTCTTTGGGGATGTGGGCTGCAGGCTTTTGCTCAGCCTGGACCTCCTCACCATGCACGCCAGCA